TGATTGCAAATCACTTTACGACCTAGTAACCCGAACTGCCATGCCGAATTGCGCGGAATACCGCACTCAACTGAATGCACGCTCCATTAAGGACTACCTCTCAGAAGGAGTCACTCTCCGTTGGGTACACAGTGGAGCACAGCTGGCTGACAGTCTCACAAAGATCATGGAGAATGGATTTCTCAGAGAGACTCTTTCGCTAGGACAGTATAAGTTGCACGATGAACTGGAAGTTCTCAAGGATCGTGCAACCACACGAAATCGGATTCGTTGGCTCAGAGGTGCACAGGTGCCTATGGAGGAACCTACCAACTGCAGTGAATCCTGAACACAATCAACAATTTTTGGATTTTTGGGAGTGTGAATTTCATCACTGCAGTTCATGTCACCACAGGACCACATCGACATTTCCAATTGCAATGCCCAGACTGGTATTCAAGTGAATCATCAACTTTGTTTTTCTTCTCAAAAGCACTTTGAGGCTCAGGACAGCCCACTTATTCCAAGGTGAGGGTAGGGAGGGATTCAACCGTGCTTGCCGCCATATCTGGGCATACGGAAGGACGTGGACGTCCTGAAACATAGGCCAGGGAGCCTTCTTTGCCTGATAGGCCTTCTTGCTGGGCCGAATCCAATCCTTCAACCTGGAAGGTGCGCATAGCAACCTTGAGCAGAGGCGCTTGGGAAAAGGCGCGACGCGGAGGTGCTGCCAGTGGGATTGGTGCTTTACCAATCACAGTAGTTATATATATATGTATATAGGTTGTAAACCACTTATTAACTGGGATGCACATCCTTGAGTAAAATGGGATGTCTGTCTTCGCAGCAGCGCTGAGTGAGTCCCAGACTTGGACTCGGATGATGTTGAACATATATAATAAGCACCGGAACTGACAAGGAAATGAACCCTTTTCAGATGGTGTGTGTATATATAATATGGTAATACTACATGCATACATCATACAAATGGTGTATATATATATATACCCTTTACATACAATCTCTCTCATACAATCTCTCTCTCTCTCTATATATATATACATCTATATGTACATAAAAAATATATAAATCGTTTTTTTACAATACAGTACCACTTGCTACCGCTCTATATTTTGCTACCGTCAATTCCTCATTTTTAATAGTCAAGGACTACCCTGGGTATCCATCTCAGTCGCGCCTTGTAACAAGGAATTTGCAGATACCCTGGCTTCGGCAGACTGCGACCGGGCGGCAAAAAACCGTGGGTTTCCTTTTTGGGCGCCTGGACCTATTTCTCAACTTGGGATTCAAAGCTGGAAACAACAAGACATGTGTTCAGTTTCAACATGTCGACTCCACTCAACTCTACTATTCAGGGGCTTCGACATGTTCGAAAGGCTCGAAAGGGGGACAATTCAGAGACCTTGGAGACATATGGAGACATAATCCTTTCTGGTCGTTGGATGACCAATGCCTCACGAGCTGACAGCTGAGCACGTTGAATATCTATGGTGCTCATACACATAAATGAATCATAAATAGTATGTGTGTGTGGTGTACATAAAAATATATTAATACACATATACTGTATCATATATACATTGATATGCATCATTATAGATATACAGATATACAATAATGTTTCCTAACCTTACTAACTTATTGCAGTGTATACTGTATACACATGTCAACATCATCCAAGCCGTTTTCATCTGAAGTCTCATCTGTTCACAAAACACAACACTGCTGAGTCTGCTGAGATGAAAAAGCACTGGCGAAAGTGAGCCTCATACGAATCATGTATATATATATATATACATGTCGTATATATATATATATGTATATACAATGTATATATATATGTATATAAAGATGTATATATATATGTGATTATATAAAATTATATATATGTTTGTGTGTGATTACATAACTCATAATTATAACATCCCACTAGTCACTGCATGCCTGTACTCCAACTCGACGCCTGCGACGTGACTTTCGTGGCAAGGACCGCGGCCTCGCGAGGCCAAGTTCAGTGGAATTGATCCTCATCGAAGCGACATCGTTCAAACTTAGCCCTCTGGTAAACAGCCACATAACAATGGAAAATCACTATTTTTAATGGGAAAACTCACTATAAATGGCCATTTTCAATAGCTTTTTGTATAGTTTACCAGAGGGTACCCCTCTGAAACTGAGCTTTATTAAACTTACCTCTACCATGTTCATCACTTATCATCACTTCATGATCGCCATTGAATAAGAATCCTTGCTTAATACCGTTTTTTCACTATTTTTCATTTGGGTTTTTCATTTGGGTTAAAAATGGTTAAAACACATCCCTCATTTCTGGAGCCAGATCATAGTCGGCGTATCATCTGATGGGATGTCCAAGCAATTCATGGGTCAATTGCCCCGTTGTCCCGTTCGGATCCGAGAATGCCTTCCCATGTCTGCGAAGTAACTATCTTAAATCACGACATATTAATGTAAGATCATCCTTGAGTAGATAGAATTCAAGCTCACCATATTTTTTCTTTTTGGGGTTCTTAACTTATTGAATTGAGGATGATTCTTGCTTGTATTCTACCGGCTTCAGAAAGACAACCAGGTTTAGAAGTCCCACTGGGTGCTTTATCAGGATCACCTTTCTATATGGCCTAGCAGCCTAGCAACTTTCCAGTCATAGGAGTGGTCCCGCCCCAAATGGCTTTGAATCGGTTGGAGTTGAGGAGTTGCACTGATCAATTGGCAAATCGTCAACTGAGAACACCAAATGATCACGATTGAAAGGCCAAAAAGTCACAAACTATTTTTTTTTGAGGTACCAGTTTGTGACTTAGCCATAAAAATGGTTTCCACACTATTTTCATGATGACACAAACTATAGTTGTCATCCATATGATTTAGCTCAGTGATAACCAACCATTTATGATCTGGACAAAATCCATGGAGATTGGTTTTTGGTCAACATGGGGTACCCCAATAATCAGATGATTACCCTCTGGTAAACATACAAAAAACGATGGAAAATCACTATGTTCAATAGGTAAATCAACTATTTCTCTGGCCATTTTCAATAGCTTTTTGTATGTTTACCAGAGGGTAATACTAAAACCGTTAAGCCTAAGCCTTCTGTGGTCCCAAGCCTGTGGCTATATCATCGATCAAGGGCTATCCATCACCAGATTCAACCAGGGCTTGACATTGCCTCAGCCCAAACTCAGGATCTTCTTCCGACAAAAACGGCCCTTTTCGTCGTTGCGCACGAGCCCCAAATTCGTGGTTCCAACGTTGACCACGGCCCCATTCGGGGTGGATCGACTTCTAAAGGAGCAGCCCTGAGAACTGGTGGCTTTGTGGCTTTGATGCCAGTCCGTCTTGAAGCACCTTGAAACGTTAGAGACTAATAGTAGAGACCAATAGTAGATACATACCATGCCATTCTTCCATTCCATTCCATACCACTACATTGCATTGCATTGCATACGTTTTCTTTTGTAACACAAGGAGAAACCCAGCTCTCAGCAAACTACAGCTTGCAAATGATTCAGCCGGTGGGAGCATCTTTTCGTCGGATGGTGTCCAAATTCAATTGATGTGGCTTTGTCCAAAACAGGGAGCCCAAAATTCCTAAGGTTTATCATCATTCGTTCAATTAACATGTTCTGGGGCTACTGGACAAATCCATGTGAGCCAACAAAAAATACCTCCATCCCATCTCATGACGTACTGTTTAGTTAATATATAAGCATATATAAGCCGTATCATGATCGCCAATACAATCCATCAACCATAATTTATCAATGATATCCCCATTTGTTCCTGATAAAATCCCATATTCCGGCGGTTAAATAGTTAAAATTCCATTAAATCATCAACCAACAGTTGCCTATTGTTGATGCCTGCAGGCTGCAAATGGTTTTTGTGCGTCATACCTCAACAATACCGGAGAATGCCAATGCCCAAACAAAGACCACGGGCCCGGGTGGTAGCATTTCAATAGCAATTTCATATAATTTGAGATGTAAAGAGGCTTTTTGATGTAGATTTATAGCATTGTAGTATTAGTCTCAAGCACGATAATTTAATGATGTATTGATGATAAGAGGCTTGTGGACCTTGCGACGCAAGCTCGAATTATCTGGAATCAATGCTGAGCTGTAAGTAGCGTGATGATTTTTTACTGAGCCTGAAACACAATAGCAAAGTAATACAAAGCCCTCAACATGAGTATCATCCATTTCCTGGTTGGTGGTTTCAACCCCTCTGAAAAATATTAGTCAGTTGGGGTGATTATTCCCAATATATGGAAAAAATAAAAAATGTTCCAAACCACCAACCAGATTTCAGTCATGATCGAACAAGTACATTCTGCTTCCGATTCCGAAGGGCTTCTGAATAAAAGTACCACACATGGCTTGACAATCACGCAGTTGAGTATCTTGAAACATGATTCAGTGTCTACACAGTGTCTCTCCATTGCCTCTTGGGTTGGCGTGTCCAGAAATGGGAAAACATATCTGAAATCATCAGCTTCTGCACTCCTGAAATCAACAAATAGACTTGACATAGATCATAGTCATTCTGGCCATCATCCCCTTCTTGGCCCAAAGGTCTTCATGTGTTGAACTCATCATGAATCTCACTCGATTCAAGGTCATTGAGTGGATGGTGTCCCTAAGATTAACCATCATTAGTCTGAAAATATGGAATCCAAAAATCTCCAAAACAAATTATCACAACATGTCCCCATGGAGTGGATGGTGTCCCAATTCTTTTCACCATAGTTATCATATCCTTTCCCCATTGACTTGCCACGTACTGGGGGCAATGGCCTTTTTTTTTGGGGAGATTTTGGGAGTCATTTCTGTTGCTTGGCTGGAGACCGAGTGAGTCGTGCCCGGCTGAAGCGAATTTTTGTGGGCGAAAAAAATGTGCCCGGGGACATTCGTGGGCGCATGCCAGGTGGCTCTTGAAAACCATGAAGAGTCGGGGGCGAAACTACCAGTTTCATAGTCTTCAATTCGCTTTCGGAGTTGGGTAGCCACCATTTTCAGAACCCGTGCGTCAGCGGTCGGGGGCTTCCTGGCATTCCAACGTCATGACTCGAGTGAAGAAAAAACAGACCCATAGGCCAATGGATTAGCAATCCGTTTCAGCATTCCCAGGACTTCAGGTATGAATGTGGGTTGAAAATCTGCGAGTTGGTCAGATTTTAGATTTCACTCGAAATAGGGCTCGAATATATATATATATATATAATACATACACACACATAGGATTATGGGCCTAGACTATATAGATCAACAAAAATTCCAAGACCCAAACCCACAGAGATTTTGGTCATTTTGAAGTGATCCCCAGCCAGTTTGCACCGAGTGGCACGACTGACAACTCCAAACCATGTGGCGGGTGACTTACAGTACAGGATCCTCTCACAGGTTTGGGACCGTGGTGTTCCTTCAAAGAAACTGCCATTTGAACATGAAGTGGTAGGTTCTAGGCTCCCACGAGTACGCGTCAGCGACTGGAATGCGACAATTTACATGTGCTTTTGACCTCCGGAATCTGAAATGTACCTTCCGCCTTCCAATTGTTTGGCTGTGGAACAGGATTGTAAGATCAGTAGTTATATATACATATCAGTATAGCATACTATTTATATATATATGTAGTTATCTGAATATATATATATCCCATAGTTGGGATTCCAGGTTCAATTTCAGAAGTGGTTCAGCTTGACCCAAAAAACAGATCCGCCTCATAGCACCGAAGCCCAGGCCTGGCGGAATGGGGAGCCTACTGCCTACTGGGGATCAGGAATGACTGGCTATCAGACGGGTGATTTTTCTCCGTTGATCTTCATCCCATTTTCATGGGAAAAACCATGGAATGATATCATCCCATTTATAGCCATAATATACTGTTATATATATATATATATATACACCATCTGGTTATGACTAACATAGCCATGAAAAATGACCCATAGAAATAGATGGTTTACCTATTAAAAAAATCATATTAGCATATATATATATGTATACTTGTTGGTGGTTTTAAGCATCTTGAAAAATATGAAAGTCAATTGGGATGATGAAATTCCCAATATATGGAAAAATAAAATTCATGTTCCAAACCACCAACCATATATACTTCCCCCTGCTGAAATTTAAGATGGGTGACAAAAACATGTGCCGTTTTATGGTTTTGGACATCACCTTCCTATTGACTTCATATTTTTAGTTGCTGAGCGTAGGCGAGGCAAAGGTGGGACTATTCGACTAGTGTTCCGCGGCAGACTTTCTGGCGCGTACAAGTCATTGTGGAACAATGTATAATGTCTAAATATGGTGGTTTCCATAAATGGGGGTACCCCAAAATGGTTGCTTTGTAATGGAAAATCCCAATCTAAAATGAATGATTTGGGGGTCTCCCCATTTCAGGAAACCCCACAAATAGTTGTGCATAATCTCGTGTCAAAAATCTCAATCATGGCAATCTACTGCCCCAAGTTTTTGCCCTCCCTGATGTGAATTACCCTATATGCCCCTCAAAATGCAGAGATGCAATACCAAACGAGGGTTCCATCTTGGGGCGTAGTTACTGGTGTTGAATGGTATTGTTTTAAGATTAGGCCCGAAGGGACCATTCTCTGGAAAGCAAACAGAACTCTTTCGAACTTCACAATCTGAGAACGGAAATCATCCAACTAACTGGGCCATCTATAGTAATTATAACATAGTATAACTAGCTTAATCCCATCCCCCATTCATATTAAACACCCCTAGAAACCATAGTAGATGTAGGGAATTTCCACTGGATTATACAATGGGGGTGTTTTTCATGTCAACCCTGGATTAATAAACCCCGTTTACGGCTGTTGAATTGGAAAGGTATCAAATCATGACTGGTTGGTGGTTTTAACCATCTTGAAAAATATGAAAGTCAATGGGAAGGATGATCCCATATATTATGGAAAATAAAAAATGTTCCAAACCACCAACCAGCAAAACATATGGTTGATGATGAATAGTGGGGATAAATGATGGATAATGGGATAAATGATTAACCAGAGGTTGATGAATATATCAATGATAAATCTATGGTTGCGAATACCCCCCTGGGGTTGACATGGGGGATGGGATTTCTTTACCCACGGCCAGCGCCGTTTCTGCATCGACTCCGGGCGCCTCCCTGGTTGGACCCTTCCGCTGCGGCTGCGGCACGTCGTCGAAATGCACCGAAGCCGAAGCACGCAGAGTGCGGCCCTGGGTGGTCCAGCGGTGCGCGCCAGGTTGATGAAATAAGAGGAGCTACTAAATGTTACTAACAAAAACTATTTTTGAGACCTCTTGTAATTAGTAAACTGGTAGCTTATTAATCGGGGTTGAAAATATACATCTCAAATCATCTCAAGAAATATAATATAAGATAATCTAAGCAATCAACATAGGCACGTGACTTAGCAACAAAAAAAGTAAGATGAGGAACAACAAAGTATAAGAAATTATACACTGCTGGCTGGTGGCTGAACCTATAAAATGGATGTTTTGTCCTCTGGCTGTTTGGATACTCGGGGGTCCCAAAAACGAGAGAAAAGCGTGTCCCGGATGTTACAAACGACGTGCCTCCTGATTTCCAACTCTATCTATTTGGGGGTTGGTATAATCCATTCCAAATATTGCTTTCATTTGTCAACGAGATCACCACCTCTTGTTTTGGGTACCGTGGGTACCAGCATTTGCCCATGGGGCCGTGACAACTGCTGACCATTCATTTGAAACCATTGGATTTGCTTCTGGAAAACCATGATACGTTGCTGCCGGGCCTGAAAACGACTACTCGGATGACTTGTTTAAGCAGCGTTTAAGCAGATGTCTTAGAGAAGAGCAGAAAAGAAAGATAGATATTTAGGTGGCTACAAAACAGGTTCCCATTGATAACCAAACATTCAAGGATTATATAAATTGCGCATGCAGAGTTTGCCCAAATATTTCACCATTGATGCGGGTTCAATCTACGTTCTTACCCTGAACTTCAACATTTCAATTTTCTATCATTTTGTCGTGCTTTCAATTTCAACGTTAATTTTTACCACCATTTTCGGGTGTTTCCCATTGGGAAACCCACTTGGTTGCCGAAAAAACCATCGCCTGATTGGTCGCCAAAATCATCCAGCGACAGTTGACATCCAGCAGACCCCAGCAGCCGCCTCCGAAGTGGCCAAAGCACTCACCAGATTTGGCTTCTCTGCATGTTTCCTGTGGCTGCGACTGAACCAAGTTTTACATTGTTTCACAATAGAGATGAGGTCGGGTTTCTGAATCGCAGCGGAAAACAAACAGATGTAAGAAATGAATAAAAACCTACTATTAAACAGTGGGCAATAACTTTTGCATCGTTTTGGCGCTTACATGAGGGTACTATATTTTATAGACATTTAGGATCCCAAATCCAATTCCCCACACCTGTGGTTGGCACCACCCTCTCTGAGATGGAATAAGCAATTCATTATCACATGTTCTCATCATTGCAACCCAGACAAAAATGAACCTCACATAGGTGATCTCCCTTAATGAACTTTACCCTCTGGTAAACTATACAAAAAGCTATTGAAAATGGCCCATTCAGTTCGTTGATTTACTCATTACAAATGGTGATTTTCCATAGTTATCTTAGTTTACCAGAGGGTAAACCTCCATTTTCCTATGGATTTTTCTATGTTTTCCCATTTTCCTATGGGTTTTGCCAGTGAATTGCACTAAAACCGATGTTTTTTCGGGTGTCTGGCTTTCGCCGTGGCCTATCGCTGGTGGGGCAAAGGTCTCCAATTTGCTGAGCCATGTTCATTGATTCAATGGGAATATCCCCACCATTCATATGGCCTGAACTATGGTACGTTTACGTAAAACTATACCTCCATTTTAGGATCCTGGAGATCTCCCATTGACCACTCTTGTTCATTGATGTTCATGAAAAGTATCCCCCAGTTCACCAGTTCGACATCTTGTACAACAGCAAGATTAACCGAGCTGCTCCATCTTGCTATCCGAAAAGGGAGCGATGCGCATAGACAAGGGGTCCTGCAGCTCATTCGGATGAAGGGCGCTGATGCTGAGCCAAACTACTTTTTGATGGACCACATCAGCACAAATGAATCCAGATCAGTTTACCCTCTGGAAATTTAATATAGACCTGAAAAGAATTTTTAGTGGAAACTAATCTTCCAAACCCTATCTGGCAGGGTCTATGTTAAATATTGTTCAAAATCTATTCCCAAACAGTTTTAAACTTTTCTGGCTAGTCTATTTTTATTTTCCCATCCCTGGCAAGAACCTTAATCCACTACCAAAACCAAACAGAATCTAGCCATTGAGCCTGAAGGGTCTGGGACCATTCTTTGCTCCGAACAGCTTCTCTTTTCCAAAGGGCCAGTAGCCTAATTAAAGTAATACCACTGGAATGCAAGCCCCAGATCGGGCACCAGCTTGTACTTTCGACCGCTCTTGTAATGCATGACCTAGGTCGGAGGATCACAGCTGGTGACTGCACAGCAAGGAGATTCGGGAAACAGACCAGGAAATCAGGCGTTTTGAAGCATTCATAGGGTTTTCTTGCTTTTTTTGTCTGCACCCCAGCTAGGTGAAAAACATGAACGTCAGTCGAGTTGACCGATGGCATCCGCAATTTCGCTCCCTAGCCTCCCTTACGCAACAGAGACTGTGGGATACTTCTTGCCCAAACCATCACAGAATCTACATTCCCTTGACCAGGAATCATGCACTCTCCTGAAATTCACTGGGCCTGCTACGCATCCAGAAGTTTCAACACATCTTCTAATTAATTTTCCTGGTAAAATCTCCAATCTGAACAAGGGATATGTAGTGGTATGCCGAATGTTCTTGGATGTTTTGGGTGCAATGCTTGCAAGTCTCGTCGGTGGTCACCACAAAAAATGCCACTCAGCAGACTGGCAGCAACAAAACACATAGCGGCTGTATTTCCACTGCGGTCCCCACTAACTATGATATACTGGCATCATTAGCTGTTTAGCTGCAACTGCCAGCGACATACATATAATTCCTGTGTGTTCATTGCATCATATCTCCAATAAATCGCATCCAAGACAGCCAAGACATACAGTATATGGGTGTGGAGTCAACAATCTAGTCATCTACCCTCTGGTAAACTGTTACATAACTATGGAAAATCACCATTTTTAATGGGCAATTCCACTATAAATGGCCATTTTCAATAGCTATGTTAGTTTACCAGAGGGTAGTATCGATTGCTCTGCGGTAATCTGTACTACGGATTGGGAGTTTGCGTAACGTCCCCGGGCAGTACCCATTGGAAAGGCTTCATCATAGCAAACAATGCGTTACACTTCTACCACCCCTATTGCTACTGCTAGCACTACTTCCCCTCCTGCTGATGCCATATGCTGCCACTACTAGTCAAAGCATAAGTAGAAGCAATTCGCAGCTGCACAGCTGTCGCGTGTGCTGGTTTCAATACAACATATTTTACATCATTCCACAATTATGTCTTTGTGCATTCCTTTTTCGGCCCATTTGGTTGATGTTGAATCAATGTTTGTCCAGGGAAGAAATAATCTCTTCTAGGCGCAACATTTCATGATTTTCATGTTAGCATATTATATATGTATATATCTGGTTGGTGGTTTCAACCCCTCTGAAAAATATGAGTTCGTCAGTTGGGATGATGAAATTCCCCACTGAATGGAAATTCATAAAATTCCATGGTTCCAGTCACCACCAACCCAGATAATATATATATATTATATCTGGGTAAATTACAATAATTCACTCACCTGAATTGTTGGGCCATTTGGGGATGATTTCCCTTTATTTTCACCATGATTCCCAGGCTTCGGTCGCGACGTGAGGTCGTGATGAAATTTACCCAGATATACCCTCTGGTTATCCAACATAGCCATGGAAAATGGCCCATTTATAGATGGTTTACCTATTAAAAATGGTGATTTTCCATGGCTATGTTAAATAACCAGAGGGTAATAATATCATATGATCCCACGAGACCTCCAAAATCCATTGGTAACCAATTCCGGTCCGCCAGGTGCCCGGCCGCGTCGCCGCCCAAGATCCACGCCGCTTTGGGCTCTGCCAGAGGTGCCGTTACGGCACGTGGTTCACAAGAACCCTGGGCGGGGATGGAAGCAATACCCCCATCTTTAGACTGGTTGGTGGTTTCAACACCTCTGAAAAATGATGGAGTTCGTCAATGGGAAGGATTATCCCATATATGAAATGGAAAATAAAAATTGTTTGAAACCACCAACGAGATGATGTTCTAGAGGATTTTCATGGACGTTCATGAATTTTCTCAATCTTCATATTTTTTGCAGAGGATTTTCCATGACGATTTTCTCACAAAGGCCTCCAGTGTGGAGATTTCCCCAGTTTCCTTTTTTTGGGGGGGTTGCTATAAGCCAAGAAGGTGGTTGTGGGGTATGTTCGAATCTGGTTTCTCTGTCTGTATGCATGTGTGAATGCATGTATGTATGATTATATAACCATCTTGAAAAATATTAGTCAATGGGAAGGATTAATTCCAATATATGGAAAAATAAAAAATGTTCCAAACCACCAACCAGATTGGGTTTCTTGCGAGATAGACACGCTTTTGGATCTGCTTCTTTGCCCTCAAGAAATGTATACAAGCCAATGAAATGGAGATACTGGCCCCCAGAAACTAGCTACTGTACAGCAGACAAGGTGGAGTAGCTTTGATGTCAGATTTCAATGCCTGGTGGATCTGTCGCACTGGTTGCTCTCTTTTGGGCTGTCCATTTTGAAAACAATTGAAAACATCTGTTCAACTGTCAACCAAGTACGCTGCACTTGCCGATTGCCTCCTCTCTAACCGTCACTTCTTGGCGTCGAAACATGTCCTGGCACAAGCAATGGACAAAATCGATCCCGACTCGAAAACGAAGGGCTGGAAGAAATTGGAAACACCCAAACAAAATGGAATCATTAATTGAGGCATTAAAAATACCCCTATCCCATATCATTATTCCTAACCCATCTCATTATTCTAGTTGGTTGATAGGTTTCGCAGTACAACTCCCTATAATCACCAATCAACCAGGGCATTTTTATTAGGTCAATTAAGAATATTGAAATTTTTGAATCCTGGCTTTGTGAGAGTGTCTGCATTGAGATTTTCAGGCGAACCCTGGCAATTTAATTACCCTCTGGTAATTTAAAGTAGCTATTGAAAATGGCCATTTATAGTGGATTTTCCCATTCAAAATGGTGATTTTCCATAGCTATGTTAGTTTACCAGAGGGTATCAACCAATCAGCCATCAACCATCATTTCTCAATAAAATATCCCCATGCATCCTCATATTCTGACGCTAAGTAGACCCTATGTGCCACGATCAAAACATGGTTTTTGTTTCGTTTTTTTTTTTTTCCGTCATACATCGCATCATGGGAACCCAAACACCATGATGTTTTTTTCGGATTAAAACTGGATTGATGACTCAGATGACCATCCCCAAATTCATGGGTTAATCTAATCGATCTCTTGACCGTGGCACAATATGATCAATGTGGCACATATGTGATCGTCAAATCATCCATCATCACCGATCAATACTGCGGATGGTTGCGAAATCCTGCATCAGTTAATAGATGATCTATCATATTTATCATGATTATCCCGTTATAAACCCATCATGATCCCAGTGTTTCATAGTTAATCATAGTTAATCATAGTTACCATTCGTTACCAACTGGTGCAGGATTCCGCAACCATCCACAGTAGGGATGTCCTAGCCGTCTAGTGACCTAGGATTCCTTGAAGAAGTACGGCGGTGGAAAAACTGCTTGCGAACTGGCTCTACTGGTTTGTTTACCCTCTGGTTATGACTAACATAGCTATTGAAAATTGCAATTTGTCATGGGAAAATTCACTATAAATGGTGATTTTCCATAGTTATGTTAAATTACCAGAGGGTATCTGTTCCGAGAATGGATTGTAATGATCTCTTTTCAAAAGGTTAGTAGAAGCCCAATCCCAACAATACACCAATGGGTTTTGACACTGCTCCTATGAAACGGAAATTGGTGTGTCTGAAAATCGAGATATAACCAACTATACTACTAGTGGGGATATAATGGGACATTTATGGGGTGGCAATCTGATACTGGTACATTTTATGTAATTCTATGAGATATCAGTCAGATATAGTCAGATCATAATTATATCGAATTTATATTTCATCAACAAGTTGATATTTGTGTGAACATGAGGCATTAACCCATTAACCCCCGAAAATCACAATTTTTGGTGGGAAACTAAATGAACTTTTTTTTCCAAATGAACATCATCATGAGTAAGCAGTGGATGAATGGATTGGAAGGGTGTACCGTGAGGCCAAGACATCAATGTCTACGACTGAACTTGCCACTTTGAAATGATGGGAAGGCAGAAGACACTCTTCAAGTCATCCTTCAAGTGATCCTTGTCGTTGTATAACATGTACAACAATATCTTCAGTTATCCTCAGCTTAATTCTTGGTCAAACTTAAAGTCTGTTCTCACTGCTGCTCAAAAAGCACCACAACCTTTACATGGATCTGGGTAAATCATGACTGACCTTTTCAAAGTTCGGCGATTTTTTGGGATTGCCCCAATCCAATTCCCATTCCAGCCGCCTGCAGATTTCCTACACTTTGGGGTCGCAAAGAACCCACCTGGGGCATATTCTCGAGCCGCGACCGGACATAGCAATGGTTAATGCAAGGACTTTAGGATCTGAATTTTCAAATGATCCATAAGAATAAACATAAAAAAGTTGATTTATAATTTGAACCAATGTGAAATCATGTTTTGTTGGGTGGTATTGGTTCAATCCGTCCGTTCTCATTTTAGGCATGTGGTTCAAACGTTAAACGAAATCATGAGGATTGAGGATGATCCAATCTTGACTCTCACCTCAGCATGAGTTCAGGTTCGGATTCTTGCAAGCCTAAATATAAACAACAATTTTTTAAGATATGATCCATTTGCTGCAGTGTTGGTGGACTTTCAAATTCAGACCCATAGCAAAAGAGGCAAAAGGAAGAGAGTACACGACCTGTCTCAGGGCAGAATTGCATATGACCTGCGACAATTTTGGAGAGGAAAACTGGCATAATCCCTAGAGTTTTCCCTCCTACAAGTAGTGTGAGCTCATCAGGTCCGAAATGATGGTATGATAATCAGGATGTTTCTTCAACAAAAAAGAAAGTTTCCTAGGTGACCCCGAAATTCTCTCAACATGATGAGGCTTACGGGGGGGATGCCACAGCTTATAGAGGGTAGCATAATCCCTCTAATTGTCCATTAACCAAACATCATTCATCAAATTAAGATATTCCCATATGTTGATGGTTGAACTGGTTATAAATTCTGGTTAAATCCCATTGTATAAATACAATGAAAACACCACCAAGAAATCAATGAAGTTATTCCCAGTTCATGGATTATGATATTCCCCAATATATCTATAATACATATGTATATATATATATACATATTGATATTATAATATCTCAATAAGCCGATATCATCATCAACGTCGTCAACGTCACAAATGGCTCCACCATTGGGCCATCCGGACACTATTCCACAAACGTCGTGGAAAGCTAGGGCTTTCCAAACCGCCGGTCAAGCTACCTGGGCAGAACAGCAGGTAACCCACAATGCGGAGTGGTGATGATGATGGTTATGATAATGGATGATGGATGATGATGATGATGGACGATGGATGATATTACATTGTATTACAGCATACTGTGTATATAAATTATAAATCAGCACCAAAGTCCCAAGAAGTCTTTACCAACGCGCTACAGTAGCTCCAGCCCATGTGACCATCATTTTTTCGCATCCCAGGCTTGTTTTGATTTTCCCAGGCCATCTGAAGGAAAATTCGATGCAAAAATAGTTGATGATACCCTCCGGTACCCTCTGGTAATTTAACATAGCTATTGAACATAACCATTATTAACCATTTATAGTGGATTTTCCGATTAAACATGGTGATTTTCCATAGCTATGTTAGTTTACCAGAGGGTAATCAAACCATCAAACCATGGCAATTGAAATTTCCTGCAAGAAATGGAACTTTTACTGGGAAACAAATCTAGAAATGAGGAATGTTCTATTACCTCGTTTGACGACCGGAGGGTAGTTTCCCTTACTCATTCAATCATCTTTTGTGACGTCGCCCCCCCCGGCGCCTGTCTTTAAAGCCGCGGACAAAGCATCGAAAGGTAGCTCGAACAAGGTGGGACGCAGCCTTGAATGTGTCAAAGATGGTCAAAGTGTGTCAGACTTCTCAACTTTCATGGATCCACCTTTCTACTTGGGGGATTTTCTACTTAAAAACACTATCCCATTAGGGTCATGTTCATTCATTTTTTGGTGAAAACCAACCCATCTTTGGGGATGACATGTTCGTGTCGCCCCAAAAAACGGGGTCTCCCGTTGTGTGGAGCAGTTCCCAGTGAGGGCCTCACGCCAACCACACCAACATGTTGGGCATTGTTCAAATCATTTCAAATCTACCCAACCTGGTTATGACATTCACAGTTTGCCATGGAGAAAATCCACCATTTTTAAGTGATAGGTAAACCATCTATTTCTATGGTGGATCTTTCCATGGCTATGTTAGTCATAGCCAGGTTGGGTATATCTAATGGTTATCTTTTATTGGTTAATCCAGTGAATGAGACATTTCTCATGCGAAGATTGGTTTGGCACCGCCAAATTGCTGTTTCCTCAATCCAAACTGGCAGTGGGAAATCCAGGAAAACCAATGGAAACCCTCCAGGAAAACCCATGAATATCTGGGGAATGGTTAGATTTTTCCCCAAACCCTAATGGTTACTTCATGAATAACTCAAATCAATGATAACTTATGGTTGGTTTAAACCATCCATGGTTTTGGACCGCCCAACAAATCAAAATGCGTAGGACAAATCCTGGGTGTTTTTGCACTTCTCCTGGGCAAATCCTAGGCGAATCGCCTGCAGAAAAAACGATCCGCAAGCCAATTTCATGATTCAATTCAGAACGGGACACGGATCTTTTTAAATGTGTTTGTAGATTTATGTATCACAATTCACCACAATTCGATTGTTGAATCAACACACACTCTTTTACATATATATATATTATCATATATTCTAGTGTGGGAAAAGCAATGACAAACCACATAATCCCCAAAAAAACATGGCATAAATCACCATCCTAAATGGATATCCTATGTTTGCCGTATGTTTATTTACCATGGACCATCCCCAAAAATCCATGGCATAAATCCTGCCTCGCTGCAGCTGAACATCTGCCAATCGACTCAGCGTGGCTTCATGGCGAAACACCGCTGGTCCAAGATCTCAGGATGTAAAGATTGATAAATAGTTATCAAATGCTATAAACAGTACATTTATATAGTACATATAACCATTTATAAATATCATATCTATATGGATAACTATGTTGATTATATGTTCTATATATAATACATATGGATGTACAGTACATTTATATAATACATACATATATATATGACTATATATAGAGTCATTATTAAATATGTTCCTATAATTATATATAAGAGCATTCTTAAGCAAATATGATGTAATTAAAGATCATGAAATCTGATTTAATATAAATACATGGCTCAAAGATAAAACATCATTCAGAACTGAACCGTTAAACCATATTAAACCCAAGTTTTGTGACGGATTTTGAGCCGCACCCCAAATCGATTCGTCGATCTCACCATTTTTCGAGACACTGTTGGCCAGTGAGGTCGTCATCAGGGCCATCCCCAAATCCTTTTGACCTATCATAATTTTTCTCATTACTATATAAGAATACCGTGTGTATATATAATAGTATGTATATATATAATTATATATATATATATATAATCATACACATATCAACAAGGCCATGTGGGGTACAGTATTTCATCATATTTCATCGATTTCCGTCAGACAATCTCTATGGTTTCTTGGTGTTTCGGGATGGGAGTCCCCACGTCCTTGTGGCACGTGGCTTGCCACGCCACTTCTCTTTCATGGATCACATCTTCCTGGCAAGGCTTTTCGAAACAATTTCTATTGTGAAACATATATCCAATGATGAAAAACACCATGGGTTTCTATGGTGGCAGTTTTGGATGGTCTTTTTTGCAGCACAATTTGGTCTGGTCCAGTGGGGAAATGGTGTGTATACCTCCATCATGTATTAGAACCAGGCAAATTGGATTTGGTACCTGAAAATCTAGGGCCAAAAAAACAAGTTTACTTGATTGTTGATAATCATCTTGACAGTTAAACATACTATTTTGAGGGTATACAACATGTTCAGACATACTGAATTGGCGAACCTGTCTGCACTACCCTTTTCGGGTTCATTGAACTCATCCAATCCCCGTGAAACAACAGCAATAAATCAGGGCAAAATCTCTCATTAAAAGGTCACACCCAAAAATTATTCTTGGTTTATGCATTCCATTCATATTCTACACAATATTCCATACGATATCCCCATTGTACCCTCTGGTAATTTGTTACATAGCCATTGAAACAATGACCATAAAAATAGTTGATTTACCCATTAATCATGGTGGATCTTTCCATAGCTACGTTAGTTTACCAGAGGGTATATCCACTAACATCCCTTTTTTTTTGGTTGATGAAAAAACCCATGGTTTCAACATGAAAAATCCCATTAATCATGGTGAATCTTTCCATCGCTATGCTGGCTATGCTATGTTAGTTTGCCAGAGGATAGCTCATCCCATCCCTAAATATTCAACACACCCATTGGATGGTCCCAATGGAACGTGGGAGTTCCCTACATCCGCCATGGTTTCGTTGAGCGGGTGTTTAATTAATGAATGTGGGAAGGGATTACTCCTATTATATATAATATTGTTATTATTGTCATACTAGTACTATTACTATTACTATTTCCATTTTCCATCTTCTCATTCTTGTTTAACCCATTATCATTAATTACTAGTACTATCATTATTTACCATTATCATTATTATTACTAGTACAACGATTCCCACTCATTTGGGCACGACTTTAGCAACTCTTTGTGCTTATATCATTATATTATTATTACAATGTGGTACCCCCCAGTTATAAGTTGGTTTATAACCCCATCTAACTATGGTTATAACTACCATAAACCCTAGTGAAATTGTAGTTATGTTCACCAACTTAGCTATCGACTGGGGGCCCCACATTGTACCATTACTCTTCCACCGTAGTAATCGTCCCATGTTCAGTCCCATTTCTCTTTCAGACTTTTTTCTTGGCCCCGAGTCAGGACGCCGGTCAGGACGCACCTTCTTGAGGAGCTCCATGCCGGTCTCGGCAGACTTTGGAGGATCGGATCATGTTCCACATTTTACCCTCTGGAAAACTAATATAACCATGGAAAGATCCACCATTTTTAATGGGAAAATCCACTATTTCTATGGTCATTTTTTCAATGGCTATGTAACAAATTACCAGAGGGTAGTCAATTATTACTAGTGATAGATGGAAAGTGGAACAATTTTTTTAGATAGTTATAGCTACTAGTGATATTTAGATGTTCTATTATTTGATGTAGATTACAATTACTAGTCTTTAAGTAGTAAGTGGTCGCGAGCCTCTCAGAGACCCGGCAACAAAAACATGTGTTGTGGCTATGCTATGGTTATTGCAGGGAAGCATCCAAGTACTGCGTTTTTTTAATTGGGCCAAGACATCCTTGGGTCAACATTTCTTGGAAGATTTCTGTAACTTAACAGTTGCGGATTAACTAGTTGGATGATAAGTTACACAAGTTAATGATCCTAATAAGTTTCTTGATGATAAGTTTTTCCAACAAGTTAACACAAGTTAACCCCAAGAAACATAGGGGTTTTCTAAGCAAGAAACTGTTGGAAAATGATCCAACCAAGATCCAGGATGACTTGGAGAATGGCACGTCACATCACGTCACCAGTCGGAATTCCGGAAACACCCAGGATCTAACCTGGCCCAATCAAAGTAGGATCAAATTCTTCATGCCAAACTTAGATACTCTGCTACACACACATATATATATATATAATATAATATATATAATATAATATATATAATATAATATATATAATATAATATATAATATATAATATATTATATTATATATATAATATATAATATATTATATTATATATAATATATATATATATAATATAATATATAATATAATATATAATATAATAATATATATAATATAATAATAATATAATACTATATATAATATAATATATATATATATAATATAATATATATATATATATAATATTATATATATAATATATATATATATATAATATAATATATATATATAATATTATATATATAATATATATATATATATATATAATATAATATATATAATATAATATATATAATATAATATATATAATATAATATATATAATATAATATATATATATATAATATACACATAGAATATACAGTATTCAGTTGTACAATCTATCCATCCATTTGCCTAAACCCAACTCAGGGATAGGTACTGCCTCACAAATGCCTCACAAGATGGTTTACACCCACGGCGTTAAGTGGGCGTGATTGAAAATGGGGGATATCCCAAGTTACGGTGATTTTCATGAGGAGCAGTAATATGTTCATAGCACATAGCCCATCAAGAATTTGGTGACCATTTTCAGACAAAACCAAGTGAGCCATGTTCTAATTTTTTTACATCCTGGCACCAAATAAGGAAATGCTTACGCCATTGCTTACGTTTTGCTTACGCGCGCACAGGTTTTGCTTACGAGCATATCTTTTCTTACGCGGAGCTTACGCTGCTGGCTTACGCGTTTTGCTTACGCCACACCCTTACAAGGGGCCCCTTGCTTAACATGAACACAAGGGTTTAGAACGTGGCTCAACAATTGAAATAAGATCATCCACAAGATTCACGTATAAGCAACTTAACAAGATTCTATCAGATTGAAAAACAAGTTCCATTCATATTGAATGCATGTGTTCAATAGATTTCAACAACGGTTGTTATACCCTCTGGTAAACTAACATAGCTATTGAAAATGGCCATTAAAAAAAGTGGATTTTCCCAATAAAAATGGTGATTTTCCATAGCGAACTGTTAAATTACCAGAGGGTAAGTTGCACAGTTGCACCTATGAAAATTTTGGTCGCCGCACGATCCAGGCCATAAAGAACTTCTTGAGATTGCCTCGTTTGCCTCGAGAAAAAACCGGGTCACGGTCACGGAAGTGGTGTTTTTTGAAGGAACATCTACTGAATCCATGGAAAAACACATTGCTTTTTCTGGGACAGTCATGGATAACACGTGCTTGATATTGTGATACTGTCGTTTTTTGGGGAAATCATTGAACATCTACGGAAACCAATAAATTTATACATATATTCACCATCTTTCACAATATTTCACCACTAAATAAGTTAGGGCCTTTGTGATGTTGAAGGTAGGTCGCTTTGTGCAAATTTCAAATTCAGAGATCCCTGGGAAAAATAAGTGGATCTATTTGGATACATGTAGATATTATATTCCCAAACAATGGCAAAGCCTGCCAAGTGATAAAAGATGATACACGTATATATAAGTCATATTAATACTTGTATAACCAATTAAACTTTCAAACCAAGCCCTACGAATCCCTACGGATCTTTTGGATCTTTGGATAAAGTCATTTAAAACCAATGTATGGAGTAAATGCAATCATGGAGTGCAGCAAACAACAGCAAACAGTTGATCTAACCTGTCACCAACGTGACACAAGATATGATCAACTGCTCTTGCTGCTTCAAAACCTTTACAGCTATACTATACGGCTATAAACATAATTGTGCAAACAAATCCACATAATCCACCAAAACACAACTCCGCCTGAGCCCTGTCATCCGTTTTTGCCCTGTACTTGTGCAATCTCACATTCTCGGAATGCCGCAGATTTTAGGATCCACTTTTTAGACTGTCACAGAAGGGGCATGGAGAGACTGAGCCCCGTTCAGTTGGCGTTTGCTGCTGCAAAGGGCCAAAACCAGGAAACCACAACTCCAGCGCTTCGCTGTCAGCTCCAATGTCAAGGCCTTCAGCCCACAAGGCACGGGGACTTTCCCCGCAGTATCGATGGGAGCCTGCCCTCCCCGTTGGTTTGCTGCCTGGCCGCCTGGCCGTGCTTCTCCTGCGCTCCAGAACTGTTTAACAGGTGCAACGTAATCCTATTGTGGTCGCATCCCAGACCAATTTATCACATTGTGGGGCTCCTTGTCTAGCGGACGTGCTCTGGCTTGACCCACCACCAACTGTCAAGTCTGAAATTCCAAGCGTCAGCGTAGACAGACTGCTCAGAAATTCATTGTAGGATATGGCAGGTGCTTCTTCTGCCCTCCACAAATGTTGCACCAGGAAATCCATGGAAATCTCACTCGACTTGGAATCATCTTAGACCAGCCAAAAAGCTGTCGCTACAGGAGACTCCACCTGCCTATCCAAGCTTCGCTTCAAGGTTCTCCGAGTCTCCTGGGTTGTCTTCGCTGATGTGGAACATCTAACTGCGGAAGCAGCTCCGGCCACAGCTCCGCAATGCTCCATACCATTCCAAATCCTCGCCAAAGTTTGTGTTTTTTTGTTTACAGCATTGACAGCCTGATGGTTCATGTGAAAAGTTTGCCGAAAACTCGGGCAGATTCGCAATACATATCAACAATTATCAACAGATCGTTTTTCAATGAGAAAAACGCAGGAAGGAAATGCTCACTTCATCCTGGTTGGAGCTCCCCGCAGGACGGCTAAGGACTTCTAAGGACGGCTAAGGACGGCTTGAGCCTCATCTGGCTGCAGATTCTCTTCTCGCTGGTGGGTTCAGTGGGTTTTGGGGCGAATCTCATATCTGATCTCACTGGCGACCTTGAGATCTCTGTCTGCTCTTGTGCAGTCCAGAAACAAGGGCTCAAAGAGGCATACCCGGCCTGGTAAACTGTTACATAACTATGGAAAGATCCACCATTTTTCATGGGAAAATCCACTATTTCTATGGTCATTTTTAATAGCTATGTAACAAATTACCAGAGGGTATTCACTACAGTCTCCGAACTGATGGGGGAGCAACAAAAATAATGAAAGCATTCCTACTTTGTGATTATGAAAGTGGATGCCTCACGATGATTTATACTAGCCCCCCACGATGGTGGGTAATTGTGGACGGATGGTGTTAATAGTGGCAGTGGATTCTACATTATTGAAACTGACAAGCCTCTCATCATCCAAGTTTTTTCAGGATGGACAAATGGAAAGTCTGTGAAAACCATTGACCAACCATTTATCCATTTGATGTCAAATGAAAACAGTGTCAAAACAATCTTAACCATTCTTAACCAACCATGAAAAATCAAATGTCCAAAATTCACATATCATTCATCCCAAGCAAAAACAAACATCCAATGCCCACCTCCCATGAGCATGTTGAGGATTCGCTGTTGCTTTTCAGATTCCATCTCATCCTGACACAGGAAAAGAATGCGGTTCCGCCTTGAAAGTGAAACTTCTGGAATCTAAAGAAATATTAGGAGATATGGATCAAACAAATATCTGAAGAACACATGGGGATATGAGTGGATATGAACCAAAAAAGATAGGGATTGAATATTGAACTAGTCAACTAGGTTGTTCTGAAATTGCTCTGACGTAATTACCAAAAAATACCTAATTGGAGGCACCCTACTGCAACCTATACATGTATAAGTTGTACAAGCTATGTATATATAATATAATATAATATAATATAATATAATACAATATAATATAATATAACATAACATAACATAATATAATATAATATAACATAACATAACATAATATAATATAACATAACATAACATAATATAATATAACATAACATAACATAACATAATATAACATAACATAACATAACATAATATAATATAATATAACATAACATAATATAATATAACATAACATAACATAATATAATATAACATAACATAATATAATGTAATATAATATAATATGTAAGGCCTACTCAAGCTCAAACCACACTTATGGGACAGTCAGCACATGTGAGGTGCCTAAATCGCTGGTTAAGCTTCAAATTGAGGATCCCAACCTCAAAAATCCAGCACAAAACCATTGGAACATGACAATTCCAATGGGAACTCAGGGGACATTCAGCTTTTTTCATGGGATTTCTGTGGATTTTTTCTGGGGATTTCTGGGATATAAACATACACAAATACATCAAAAATTGGTTAATAATTGCTTAATAATTGTTAAGATATATTTAATAGTGATTAATATGGCAGTGTGTCAAAACCAATAGTACCCCTTCTGTTCATATCAAAATAGCTGGTAAATGGATGTTCATCCCACTAAAAATGGTATTAATAGGTATTGATCCATACCCATATAAACATACACAAATACATCAAAAATATGTAGTCCTCCAACCCGCCCGCCCAAGCACGTCAGGTTCCCGTCAGCTTCCCGTCAGCTTCCTGCGCCCTCTGCAAGCTCTTGGAGTGCGAGCCTTGACCCTCCTGCAGACTGCTGGCCATATCGACTTCTGACTATCCGTCATTTTAGTATATACTCTCTGGTTATGACTGTTACAGTTCGCCATGGAAAATAAATGGCCCTAATCGAAATAGATGGAGTTTACTGAACTTACAAATGATGATTTTCCCTAGCAAACTGTTAGTCATAACCAGATGGTATATCTACTAACATCCCAGGTTTTTTTGATTAAACCTCTATAATCACCATTAAATCCCACTAAACCACCATTTTTAATACATGGTAAATCATCTAGAGGGTATGTTTTTCATCCTCCAAAACCCATGGCTTTTCCCAGGTTTGGCTCCCGGATGTTCCCAGTGATTTTTCATCACCCAGTCATGGAGGTGTCCATTTTAATGGGGCAGTAGCCCCCAGTCGTCACCAAAAAGGTTCCTAAATACTAAGTCATGGTCGAAAATTGTGGATGAAACTTGGGGTAGCCCTATTTTAGATGATTTTAGGACATCAGTTTTTTTTGGCTGCGAAGAATTGCATTGTCCATGATGCACGCACTCCAACCAATGCCCATGTCTGTGTCCAGATCCAACTCTAGACTTGGGAGATAAATCAGTAGGAAGGGATTGAGACACATTTTACACATGTTGGAAGGAAACCATGGATTTTACCCAAAGGCTTTCGGCCTTTCCTGCAAAATGTCCCTTCAACTAGCACTGAATTGATACAATCCCCCAAAAAGTGGTGACGACATGTCACCAGTGTGATTTTCCAGATTTTTCCACGAGTCAACCGATTTTCATCAACATTTGACCGATGAAAGGTGGTTCAACTGGTTGTGCCCCAAAGGTTCGCTAAGTTGGCCTGAAAATCAAAACAGGATTCTTGGTACGTAGATATAACATAATATAACTATAGTTAGATGGGTTTATACCATCCGGGGTTCACTAACATAGATGTTGCATTCTGGATCAATACCCAAAAAGATACAATTTCTGAATGGGGATCAACATCCATAAATCCCAGCTATTTTGAACAGAAGGGGTACGTCTGACATGTCTTGACTCCATATGTATTATTGATTATATATATGATTATATATGGTATATGATTATATATGGTATATGATTATATATGGTATATGATTATATATTGTATATGATTATATATTGTATATGATTATATATTTGAACAGAAGGGGTACTATATATAATTTATATTAATCCACGTGGAAAAGCCACAGCTTCCCCAGGAGGATCCACATCGCCGACTCAGCGAGATCAGTCGCTCCTCTTGTCGCCTGGAGCGTGCCTTTCCACGACGGATGGCCGCCTGATGCGGTAACTTTCACCATCCACCAGGTGTTTGTGATGTGTCTACAATGTGGGGCCCCCAGTCGATAGCGTTCAGTTGGTGAACATAACTACAATTTCACTAGGGTTTATAGTAGTTATAACCATAGTTAGATGGGGTTATAAACCAACAAACATAACGTTTGGGGGCCCCACATTGTATGTGTGTTATAATTGCAACATATGATGGATGTATATGTATATATGTGTTATGTATATATGGAGTAAGCTAGTAATTTTATGGAGCATGTCCTAAACACCACCAAGTTTGTGGGTCTGCTGGTAGCACATTGCTGAGCCATATGTCCACATGTTTAATGCGTGGAGAAACAATGCTTCATCTGCACTTCAGGCTTTCATAGGTCATCAATTTCAGGATATATACCAGACCAGAAACCTGAAATGGCTAAAAACAGCTAGTGATGATATATATATATATATATATATAATCCTGGTATTGAACATCAATATCATCAATATATGTTGGGCATATCAATTTCTGGTATTTCTGGTATTGATATGCCCGACATTGTCGAAAAATACCAGAACATGGCTTTGGGATGATTATTCCCTGTGGAGGATGATCCCTTGTTTGGCCGGAACATCCGCAGCAGTTGATGAAAAATTATGATCCCGACAGAAGCGCATATATAATCATATATAGTTAATATAATCATATATAGTCATATATAATCAAATATAGTCATATATAATCATATATAGTCATATATAATCATATATAGTCATATATAATCATATATAGTCATATATAATCAAATATAGTCATATATAATCATATATAGTTAATATAATCATATATAGTCATATATAATCATATATAGTCATATATAATCATATATAGTCACTATAGTCATACATAATCATATATAATCATATATAGTCATATATAATCAAATATAGTCATATATAATCATATATAGTCATATATAATCATATATAATCATATATATATATTATCTTATGTATATCATGTATATAATATACAGTATGTAAACATTCAAGTTTCCCTCTTTGGGCATGAATTCCCCATGTGTACAACCCAGCTATCATGTTTTGTGATTTTCCGTTGAATCCTCATCCACCACTTGTTGCTGCGGAGTTAAACAGTTAAACCCCAACTTTTGCTGCAAAACTCCCAGGTTGCTGGTTTCAACCGGAAATCACCCAAAGTTCATCCAAACAAAAAAACTATATTGGAATGGCAATATGTTCATCTTCAAACTCGCAAAATAAATTCTGATGTTCACCAGAAAAAGATTAAACAGATAAAAACAAGTGCCGTTTTCCTTCTTTTCCTCATGAAAATTGCCGTGTGTTCATCCGTATTCATGCAATTTTCGCGCATTTTTCCATATTTTTCACCGTGAAAAGTGCCATTTCTCAAAGAGAACGGTTCCCCAACGGTTCCGACTTCTCCGCCTCTGTGGCCCGGCGCAAACGTTCGCGGGCCTGAAGGTTCGTTGGTCTTCCACAACAGGCCGGGGTGAATCTTTGAAAAACATCAGGAAGCATGACACAAAAAAGGATAAATTCTGATGATTTTCAACATAATTCACGAACAAGTTCCAAGTTCGTTGAGTTTCTCTATATATAGTTTCTCTCCTTCCATCTCATTCCACTATTTCTATCCCCAGATCCCCTAATATGATTTTTGAAGGTGCCCCGTTTTAACGGTGCCCGGCGTCCGGACTTCTTTGGCGAGGTCGGCATCGGACTTGTTTCGGGCAATGAGGCCTTGGGATAACAACGGGTGCCCCAGTTCGTTTTTAAGCGCACTTCTTAGTATAAAGTATATAACATAACTATTAATATAGTAGTTGGATAATAACTCTATAAGTCCTATTTCTAAACTATAGCTGGTATATTAATATGTTATTAGTTTAGTTGTGTAGTTTCGTTAAATAGTTTAGTTGTGTAGTTTCGTTAAACTTCTTAGTGAACATAACTCCAATTCACATTGGGTGTTTTCATGAAACGAAACTACATAACTATAGTTACTAACTTTGCTTCACAAAGCACATAACTGTAGTATTACTATAGAGTCACTTGTTTATGATATTAACCATAACTATACTATGCTTTATGAACCAACCATAACTGGAAAACCACCTTGTAGAGGTCCCTTTTTTGGGGTTGAGCCATCCATGATTTTTTGAGCCAAGGAAATCCCCCCTAAAAAACACCTGACCTATAATATATAGTGTATGTTCCGAACATTCTTCCTACATAGGACTTTGTCATAATTATACGCCAAGAAATCTTTATAACATAGGTGTGTCTAATAATATATGTAGAGCATAGAAATATCTATGGAATAGCATGAACATGTATATACATACATATAATTATACTATATTTATATGTATAAATTGTTTGATAGCCACTATATTCAATTGTTAATTTCCATTCCTACAAAAAACAAGGACTGGTTCCCACTTAACGGAATTCCCTCAAAGCCTCCCTAACCTTTTGTATTTCAGAATTTCATGGCAAATCTATGCTAATCTTAGCTATCCTGACAAACACATCATTTCTTAGTCGTATATTCTTGCAGCATGCCCCTAACAAACAATTTATAGCACCCACCTGCTTATAGTTTACAGATCTGGACCTATTACTATTTTCTTCAACCACCAAAAAAATGGAACAAACCACGAGATGAAACTCATTTGTTTACGGTTGGATGTTACTTTTCTGTACTTTTGTTGATCTTTTTTGGGGTTGCTGGCTTCCATCTCCACACGAAACCCGTTGCAACACACGAAGCGACGAAGCGATTGGTGGAAATATCTGAGATTCTGGCCCCGGTACTTCCCGCCTGGCCTGACATCTTTGATGAGGGGAGGCTAGAAAATCTAAGATGATTGGAGGTGTCTCGGGGGTAAAATGATGTTGTTGTTGTTGTTGTTGTTGCTCTTCTTCTTCTTCTTCCTCTTCTTCTTCTTCTTTTTCTTCATTTTTGTTCCAAACACCAAGACAGGATACTGTATTATGAATATAGGTATCCTGACGGTTCCCCATGTTCAAGGGATTGAAGACTGTTCAAAAAATCAGTTTTTGTTGCTGAACTAGAGGGGGCGAGGCATCCAATATATCAGCAACACCCAGCCATAAATACACAAGTTGCAAAGCTGGAAATTATAAAGGGAACATCATTCACCTAGCATCCTGGAAGCACAACTATTTTTGTTTGGAATTCATAGAGCACTGAATTGATGAATATTGATGAATTAGTATAAATTACCAGGGTGTACCCCATTTCGTGTCAGAATTCGTCGGAGTCCATGCTTTTTTTCAGACTCCGAGGTCGGGATTCCCGCCTACGCACTGGCATGGCTCAGGGAGACAGCCAACAGCTATTGAGCCGCGGCGGAATTTCGATTCAATCTAGATTGGCTGTGGGTTTTCCATCGCCGCATCTTCTCCGCGATCTCTTTTTGTCAGTTTCCCGCGGTTCAAGAACAACTCCAGAAAAGAACTGCTAAGCTTCAGGATTATCTTAAAACAACTGTTCCTTTCTGTCATTATTTGCTTCCCCTTGGTTCAAGTGTTCGTCAAGCCGGCCATTGAGCCGAAATTGGGCCAAATCACACGGGATGTTGAACCCGGCCCGTTGAGTGACCACGTTTAGTCGCTGTTGGTGGCTTTACCCTAACACGGCAATGGAAAATCTATGAACATCTACTAATTTAGACGGTTTTCCCATCAAAACCTCCATTTATTCAATGAAATTCCCATTTCCAATGCTGAAACTTCACAATATGACCCAGACATACCCAGGCATTGTTCAAATATTTTCGATTCCTATTGGACACCTGCTCTTGACCCAGACCCACATTCGCACATCACATCAGATCGGGACCTTGTCGGCAATTCATCTATGGGTGCCTGCGATGAATAGGCGTCGAGGCAACACCTTTGTTTTAAGTACCCTTTGGTAATCGAACATGTCTAGCTGCTGGCTGGGCAATCCCATGTAAATGACTAGAAATGGAGGTCTGATTGGGAACATCATCTATAAATGAAGGATTTTCCATTGCCATGTTGGCTGACCAGAGAGTACTGAGAGTACTGTCAAAATATTCAATGTCTTCGTTGTACAGCCTTTTTGGTGTACCAACTTCTGGTAGCTTTTATGCTTTTAGCGTTTCTGGATGTTTCTGGTACACATAGCAGAACTACATTCTTTCCACATGATCCGATCAACAATGCACTGTCTTGAGAAACCACAACCCAAACACGAACCCGAAGTTGCCTCGTAGTTTTCCAAGGCCATCGTCAATTCCTGGGAAGTGAGTTCTCCAGGACCCTCCGCACATAAAACAGATGTTTTGAGGAGCTGGGCAGCAACCATCAAGGCTTCCGAATGGTTTGGGAAGGCTTCCGACCTCCATCCTCTGCAGGTCATGAAAAGGCTGTCAGATCCACCCCCTGTTGAGCGAAAACATGGATACTGCATCCGAAAAGTTGCGACCGATTTTAAGGGACCGATGCTAACCATCTCAATTCATCATTCCAAAAAAACAGCCAAGCTGTTTAAGAACCTACTGCAATAATCAGATTTCAGTGCTGGGTTTCCCGATTTTAGGCCAGACACGCTGCAAGAGAGAATGTAATGAACTCCAGGGAGGTTCTTAGGCTGGATGAGGAGGAGAGGCGCGTCAGGGGCATGAGAACCGGCAAAGGAGAAACGGTGGGTAATGTGAGAAAAACAATGCCATAAACCACCCATTTGCAATGGTTTTTACCACCTATTTGTGGTGAAGTTGGGGATGGTTTATTGTTTTTCCAACATTACTTCAATTTACACTGCATTTTGTCACTGATTTTTGTGTGAATACGTTCAACCGTTTTTTGGAAATGTGTTTTTGTTTTTGTTTTTTTATTTGGCACGAACACTCTGGATGATACAAAGCAAGACCTTACATTTAAGAAATTCGGGGCACCCTCAGCATTAGTACCCCAAACCGGATCCCTCATTGACTTAAAAACACCAGGGTAGCCTCAAAAATTCTTATTCGATTCTTCTCCAACGGTTCCGCTGTCCCCCGAAGCAGGAGTTGTTTTTCGCATTTTGGATAAGATTCCCCCTCATAGAAAAACAACATCATCACCCCATGACCACAAAGAAAAGATCATGCTTTTGTTTTTGCTGCTTAGTACCCTCTGGTATATTAACATAGACCCTGGCAGACAGGGGTTGGAAGATTCATGTCCATTAAAAAATAGTGATTTTCAGGGTCTATCTTAGTTTACTAGGGGGTAACTATTCCAAAAAGGTCAAAGATTGGTTTGTAATTCAAGTATATTAAAGTACGCCATCCAGGTAGTTGACCGGTGTTTCCACCATGTTCTGCTCCTAAAGTTCTACCATCTTCGGTGAAATCCCGACCCTTCCAAGGTCCTGCACAAAGTCGGCCAGGTGCTGACTGCGCTGGGCGAAGTTCTCCTGCTGGGTGCTGCTGGGTGCCACCAAAATCCTCTGAGAGTCAAAGATAATATCAAACATTCAGTGGATGGAATATCAATCATGTAATATCAATATATGTATCTGTATATATATATATACGTATACATATATATATATAATATAATTATACATATTAAAAAAAATAAAACAACTTGGCACTAATACATAACTGAGGGATAGGCTAAGATCTTTGAAATCTTGGATCCAGAAAACTCTGAAAAGTTTGCAAAGTTTTTTGGATTCAAGATTCTGAGAAAAACTGTTTGAATCCCAAACCTTGAGTCTTGATGAGGGAAGTCTCGAGTCAAACCATTTTTCTCAGAATCTTGAATCCCAGAAACATTGCGAAGTTTGCAAACATTTTTCTTGATATTGAATACACAGATTGATTCATTTGTCACTGCCCATATCACGAAATAAAAGTACAGAAACGGCAGGTATTACGGTATTTTGGGTTTCTTTGTGTTTTATTTTATTTGTTTTATAATAATGTTTTGATCCATAGGATTGACCCAGATTAATCCAAACCAAATCTGCATCATCTTGCTTCTAAGGCATCATGCATTTACCAAATGCGTCCCTTACAAACCATTACTTAAGAAAATGCTTGTATGATAAACATGCGCAGTATTCTTTGGGGATGTGCAATTTTCCAGTTAAAGGGTGAAGGCCTTTGGGATGTGCAATTTTCTTCTTTTGGTGAATGAAACATTTCCTTCAATTCAATGGTGTTCCTTTTCAAATAGATTGTAATTGGGATTCTTTAAAAGGAGTATCACGTTCTTTTTGAAGAATTGGTGCTACTTTCAAACATGAAGGACAACTGAGACGATTTTCTTTTTGGTAAGTGAAAATTTACTTCAAATGAATGGGTGTATTTTCAAAGGAAAGGACCTTTCTAAGAAATGGTGCTACTTTCCACAGTGCAGCTGGATTTTTTTGAAAGGAGTGTGACATTATTATCCTTTAAGGAAATGGTGTTACCTTCAAACATAGATAAGAGCTAAGCTTTGAAGGGGAGTGTTACTTTTTTAGTAGACATATTTCATATTCTGCAACAATATTATACACTTCATATTCTGCAACAATAGTGTATCTGTTGCTTAAACAAATGGCTGCAGCTTCAAGTGGAGTATTTTTCTTTAAAGGAACATGCCTCTGTTTGAGAAAATATATCCATCATGAAAAAGGGAAAGAGGAAGAATGTAATTAAAATATCTGAAATACAATGCATAGTGTAGAGAACTAGTGTGTTTTTCGAAAAATATTGCAGCCTTCAAGGGAGATTTTCCCTAAGAAGCTCTGCGCTAGCTCAAAGCAACCATTGGCTTCTAAGTGAAAACGTATTTTTGATTGTTTAAGGGATGCTGCATATTTGTGAAGAAAACGGCACTTCTTTGAAGAATCTCATCTCTTCAGAGTGTTACTTTCTCGAAATGTAGCACAGGTTCAAGTCCTAATAGATGGGATAGAAAAAACATATTCCTCTTTGATCCTCTTTGGACCATTGCTGTACTGTGCAACTCAAGCTACAAGTCTTCTTCATCTAACATTAAGTGTTCTTCCACAGTCAATTAGAACATGAATTTCAACTGTCACAGATTGCACCATGGCATGGCATTTGTGTGATACCACCTGGCTACAAACGAGATATTAGCATCAGGCTGTGTGATGGACTTTTCCTTGAATATACTAAAGGCACTGCATCAAGGGTAACCAATCTATTGAACATATCCACAACCTATCGAAAACACCACGGAGCTTCCTTACTTTTCTAACTGAAATAAGCCTGGTAGATTAATTAAGACTCGTTTCTGCAAGGTTTAATTAAAAGGTGGGTACCGGGGGGGCTAGCATATATACATGTATATACACGTGTATATATATATATTATATATATACACCTGTGAACGTGTCTATGTGTGTATATATATATACTACTCATGTATATATCTAAATAACTTACCATGTAAACTATAGATGGTTGCCAAAAGAGAATCTATCATATATATTCATATATCATGATCTATATCACTAGTTTCACTTTTAATCCTCCCCGTGTCCTGCTGTGCTGCTGCTATGACAAAAGTCGCCAGGAGCTTTGGCCGACTAAGACCTGGCACCGTGGCCAGCGGGGCTGGGGGATCACCCCAGGAATATCTGTAGGCTACCCCATCTGGTTCGGGGTATACCTACCCCTCTGATTCATGGTGATTTAATGATGGTTAATGATTATTAATGATGGTTACAAACCAAGCTGGTTGGTGGTTTCAACCTACCCCTCTGAAAAATGATGGAGTTAGTGAAAGTCAGTTGGGATGATTATCCCAATTATCCCATATATGAAATGGAAAATAAAAAATGTTTGAAACCACCAACCGGCCATGTTTAGACTAAGCCACATGGTCTGAAATAATGTCAAAAAAAATCAACGTTTGAAAAATGGATACAGCACAAATCACCAACCGTTGGCACAGTTGTACATCACTGTCACCAGTGCGCCGTTCTAAGCTGGGCAGCCAACCCGCGTCGGAATTGCTCTCCTGTGCATGGTTGGGGATGATTTCATGACGATCCCTAACAGATGATTACCGGTGCTTGTGATTAATGAGTCAATGAGCCCTTTCAAAACCCTGAGGGTGGGGGTCGCTTTGGGGGGGTGTTGGTTGAATTTCTATGATCATGTCAAACAGGCATGAATGTTGTACGAAATCAGGGGCAATCCTGGTAAACCATGGTAAAACACGTGTCGATGAAGCCAGTATGCCAGGATTTTCCAATAAATCCAAAGACGTTGGATGGCCATGTCTAGAACCGTCAAACTCCTTTTTCTCCTTTGGTCATGGTTGATTCACAGGTATTTG